GGCCGCATCATGCTTCCTCAAACCAAACCCAGTGATCCCACTGAGTCCAACAGCGCTGGGCTGCATGTCCCTGGACTGTTGCCATGACAACCAGTCAGCGCTGGATGCTGAGGTGAGGATGAGGAGCAGCAGAGGCGAAGGTTTAAACGGTCAAAATGGAGGATCAGCTTCTGCCAACGCTGGCAGCTCTGTGATTGGCTGGATGGAGCAGCAGCCAGCTGACCTCTGACCTTTAGAGCTGCTGGGATCCTCAGAAACAGCAGTCCAGCAAAAATAAAATAAATGGAAAATAACTTTATTATAGGAATAGAAGCCTGTAGTTCATTCTGTTCCTGGGTGATCCGGGTCTCTGATCTGGTACCAGAACCGAGCCGTGACCCAAACGGTGATCTCTGGGTTTGATCCGATGTTGGTGTGGATCTGACTGAAGGTTGTGTCTGTCTGCAGGTAAGACCATCGCCATCGGGAAGGTCCTGAAGCTGGTCGCTGAGCGGGACTGAGGAGGACGGCGCCGCCTGGAGTCTCTGTGAGAAGGACGTGGCCTCTGTCCTCGGCAGCGGCGGCGGCTCCCCGTCGCGCCTCGCCGTGCGTCTTGAAGTTGAGCTCTGGGAAACAGAGGCGTGTTTTTAAACTGAATGCTAGCGGCAGGAGTCGGCTTTCTCATATTGAGATCTCCGTTCTGCCGTTCTGGGTCCAGCTCTCCCATTCCTCCATTAAACCAGCTCTTTTCTTCCACTTTCCATTTCTCTGGCCGCCGCTCGCAGGTGGTCGAACTTCCGCCATGAACACACGGACCAGGATGCTGGATGAGATTCCGAGGACTGGAAGTTTTCTCGGTTCTGTTTCCTTTTGCTTTTACCCAGTTTTGTTTCTGACGCTCCGGCTGATAGCTGCAGCGTTGATCAAATGTTAAAGCTGTTCCAATAAAACATTGATTGGGAAAATCGGCGTGTTTGTCAGAGCTCACCACCGCCCCCTGCTGGCCCACAGCCTGCATCAGATTTTAATGCTTGAAGTTGTTTTCTGATCTGACGATCATTATGGGAGGAATGAAAGGTTTGATTTTAATCAAAGAAGGAAAACAAATTTACTTCAGGTTCTTCAGGCTCCTGGAGCTGCTGGAGCTGCTGGTGTCCACCTGAAGCTAAAGGTGTTCATCATCTGGAGGTCCAACCAGACCAGAACCAAGCATCACNAGCTGCTGGAGCTGCTGGTGTCCACCTGAAGCTAAAGGTGTTCATCATCTGGAGGTCCAACCAGACCAGAACCAAGCATCACACCTTCGCTGCTCAATGTTTTATTTCAGGGTCAGTTTGTTCCCAGGAGCCATTTAATCAGATCTGGTCTGGTTTCCTCTGAAGGTCGACGTCCTGGAATCTCCTGGGAGACGGAATGGCTGCAGCCTTCCTCCTCACAGAGGTTCTGATCCAGGGAACGTGATCAGAACCTCTGTGGGGTTCTGGAGCTTTGGTAGCAACTGGACCAGCTGATAGATGAAGGCTATGGGGTGTCCATCACGCCGCAGCAGAACGCACCGTCCTTTGCTGACTATCTGCTCCATCACCTGCTGCAGGGCGGGGTTTCCCTCTGAAGCTCCGCCCCCACCCTGAATCAGGAATGTTTGTCTGATTAAAGCTGTGAAATGAAAAGAAGCAGAGATGTAATTCAGTCGGTTTCTGCTTTGAAAAGGTTTTGCTGCAGCTGTTCCTCCTCGCTCTGTGACTCCAGGGGGCGCTGTTGTGGTTCGTGCTAAAGTTAACCCTCCCTGAGGCTGGATTTGGCTTTATAATGAACTGCTGGTTCCGAATAATAGCAGCTG